CCACTTTTGTAAACAATAACAAAACCAGAACGTCGCTGCTAAAAAAGATGTACACATTAAAAACACCCTACATACACAAAACTACACAAATCATTTTACACTCCCAACCAAAGCACTCTGGTCAAGTCCGAGTACAATTTGGTATTCTCTGTACAATTATGAAATCCTGCTAAAAATTATAGTTATCCTTGGGATTAAAATACAGCACAGCGCATAAGGCAAAAAAATAGGAATTATCATCCAGTTCTTTGCGTTTCAGTTAAATATCAAGAATTTAAGGCAAGCTTGGACATTTTGCATTGTTTCATATTGTGAATGGGGACTTACAGATGGCAAAGTCACAGAAGTAACAAACAGTTAACTCTTCGTAATGCACACTGACACATCCGACCCTCTCGAAATCCCAGCCAGACTTGCTGGAAGAAGAGCATTCCTAGAAAGAGACACTGTCAAAAGCTTACAGATGAATACCTTTGTTTAAAAACCCAGAAATTCAGGAACTGGTTGTACACATAGAAACTCATACCCATTTTAAAGTGCTTTACAGATAATTTTGAGTGATTAAGAACTAGAACTGGATGATAATTTGTAGTTGTATGACATCTTATTTGAAGGTCCTCAATTTTCCAACTGCAAGACAGACGTTACAACGAGAGCATTGTTCTTGAAATGCAGATTGAAACTGGCTGTTGTGTCTGATCTTCAGTAACCAAGCACTTCAGTGAACGGGACAAAAGCACCGGCACAGAAAGTGAAGATGGTGATTTGAAGAGATGCGATCCCTAAGCTGATGTACTCTGCCACCCATTTCCAGCTAAACACTCCTCTAACAGCAGTGGTACCTCTCACCAGGGGTTCTTTCCATCCTTCACACCAAGCCCCCACGTTAACACCTTGTTTATGCTGCTGTCGTAAATTTAGGAAAACCACATTGCACAATACGGGGTCAAGCTCTGGGACCCAACTCCACATTGACACCGCCTAGGGAATGAGTAAAACACTTTGCAGTTTTAAGTGCTCTGAATTCCAGAAACAAAAGATGTTTATAGAAACACTGACTGACCATCAATACCACCCCGACCTATGGAGTTTTCTTCTGAGGAAGTCAGAACAATTTCTATACCTTGTGCTGCTTTGTGCTCACTGAAAACAGCATTTACTTATCCTCACATACAGGAGCATCTTCACTGCTGGCATCCTACTGCAGTTCAACTCTAGAAGGCATGGGATATACTGAACTGCACGGACAACCTCGGAGCACTAAAAAGCACAGACTTATCTCCTAAGTAAGGAATTTTGGTTGGTTTTTATTTTTTTTTCCATTTTCTTTAATATTAGTGTTAAATTAAAATAAAAGCAAAATAAATTAAATGTATCTTTCTGTGGTGTACATTGCAAAATATGGTAACCAATGGCACCACTGTGGAACAGCACAGGGAAACACCCAGCTCCTGCATTTCCCTGAACCACAGGGGAAGGTGATCCAGCCCCAGGCTGCACCCACCCTTCATCCGGAAACCCACTCCCTGTCTTCCTCCTCCTCACACAAACACGCAACCTACAACCACGGAGCTACCTGGGTCCTACCAACAAAGCCACTGCAATAGTTAAATTACACTATTATTGCTATAGAGCTGGAATCCTCAGTGGGTCGAACCCCATTGAAAACGCTGAAATTGGTAATTTCATTTGCTTTTAGAGTCCTGCTTAATTACACCAGCTCTGAAGAATACGTGCAGGATTTTGCAATCTGTGCAAACCTCTGATCTGTGAATAATGTTTTATGGTGAAAACGCCCTCGTCTCCTTGACTGTTAAAAGCTGAACATTAGCGCATGGAAGAACAAGGAACACCGCTGTCTGCAACCAGCTTTGCAGGAACCTGGAGAAAATCAAGTGCACTCAAACCCCTCCGCTTCACATACTGCTAAAGAAATGGCTTTTAAAGCAACTATTTCAAATATTATTGCACCATCAAAAATAATACTATAAGGGCTTGAAAAACAAGGGGAAACAAACATTAATTTGACATGTTAAAACAAGGGTAAAATAACTCGAGGCAGAAAAATCCTTCAGTACCAGGCCTGGCAATACACAAACAGACGTCAAAACAAAGTCAAGATAACTAATTCTTAGTTAAAAATCAGAAGACAAACCAAAACATTCTAAATTAGCTAAAATATGTATTTATTCAGTCACCTACTTCAAATAAGGGTTATAACCCACAGCATCACTTCCTGTTTATCTGCCCAAATTGTCACTAAATTCAGGGCTATCACGAAGCTGCATCTCTTGAGATTCTGGTCGATCCCAGGAGCCGATGGCCTGCAGTGGCACAGGACACACCTCAGGATGCACAGCGATGCCCAGGCTCTTCATTCACTGCACCCTGTGCTGAAGGCAAGACTGGCTACGAACCTGAAACAGAGTCTCGCTCCTCACTCCCTGCTTACGTGTTTGTGGGAATAGGAACAATAAACACAGACGTTCTGAAATAATCAAAATAGCCATGTAACAAACACAGAGCTCATTCAGTACACTGTGTTACTCTTGACAGGTTTCATAGGCACGAATGTATCGAGCAAGTGAGGAACAGAAACACAAGAACAACTGAAACAACCGTGTGTTTTGCATACTGCACTAACATCAGTAACAGCCTCATCAGGAGTCCTACAGTTAGCACCATTTTTGTATCTGAACACTCTGGGAAAGCAACCATACATTCTTTCAAAAAAGGAAGTTATACGGAATATGGACACATGAGTGCGCCTGCAAGAAGGATGGGACGGATTCACTTTGAGTATTTATTTCATATCACGCTATGAACGCTGCTGTGGCATCTTCTGAGGTGTGATTATTGTATTTTTTCCTCACATTACAATTGAAAACACAGCAGACTACCAAGATTAAGTCACTTAATCTAGCACTCATTTATCCACAAAAAGAAGATACAGCGAAAGTCAGAAGTGTGATTTCTCTTGAGCAGACCCAAAAATTTTGTTAAGAGGCAGTAAAAATCTGCCTTGCAAATTTCTTTTAGTAGTTTCTACTGACCATCCCAGCCCTCCAACCAGCGAGCAGGTAACAAAGGGGAGTGTACAGGCAACAAACTATGGCATTTGTTATTTACAGACCTTGAGATACAGAAACAAGGCAGCCCTTTAGTTGCTGTTCATTAAAAAACGATGAAGCACTGGCATTTTCTTAACATGAAGACACAAGCAGACGCCCATCAGCAAACTGTCCACTCACACCACACACACACTTTGCACCCCAAGCACAGTAAACTTTGTGTTTCAGAGCAGGCAGGAGTAGAGAAAAGCTCCAGACACGGTCAGGGTTTTCCAACCACACCCAGGTAAAGCACTCTCTAAAGTTCACTGCCATTAACAGACCTATCTAACCCCGCTGGTCATGAACCTTCCATCCCTTCTGCCCGTGTCACTGGAGTAACCAAGGCCAATTACCGGAAGAAAACAAATCCTTCCTCGTTTCACTTCCAGCTTCACCGCTTCCCTCCAGCCTCAGGAAACGCAGCTCATGGTCTCGACCAGCAGGCTTTGTTTTCAAGCGGGTCAAGCTCCCTCTTTGCATCAGGTCCATACAGTGCTGCTCTTTATCAAAGCGCAGTCAAGCCAAAATTGCATCGACAGTACATCATCCCAGCTGAGTCCAGCCAGGTGTCTGAGATGGGGTCGTACCTCTGGACAGTGTTCAGGTAGGACGATCCCGAATGACCTCCAACCACATAAAGGTAATTATCAATTACAGCGGCCCCAACTCCTGCAGGGAAGAAATAAAAAAGACTGCATGATCAGCAAGCGTGGAAGCAAGTAGCATTTTTGCTCCTAATGGGACTCCCCCACCACAACCTGAAGGCTGAGCAAAGTTCTCACAGCCTCTCCTTTGGCCTTTAAAGAAAAGTTTGAGGTTGGACCAGAGGATCTTTACAGTTCCTTCCAAGCCAAACCACTCTGCAATTCTATGAAAATGGCTGTAAATGAAGAGCTGTTCTCTCTTCAGGTCTTACACTCCTTTTTGGCTCTTCTCATGCCCTTTCCTACAACAAAGCAATGCTCTTCTGTTCCAGTACTCCTTGTCAGGGAGACAGCAGAGAGGATGCACTGCTGAATCTCTACATAAAACAAAATACAATAGAACAGAAACCAAGGGATTGCTGAAATTCACTCAAAATTAATGAAAAACAGAAGATAAAGTAGAAATATTACTTCATATTACTTTAGTTACAGCTCAGTATTAATAAACTGGACTGTAATTAAAAATAGCAAAATAAATAATCAGCTCCATGGAAGAATGAGTAAGTGATCTTTGGTCCAATTCACAAATGAAGTCTAATGCTCTGCAGAAAACCCACTACAGTTTCAGTGTAGTTTCTATCGGATCAAACAGCAGGTTATTTCTGAAAGGCCATCCGAGGTAACTGCTGAGCTCTGTATGCACCTACCTGTTCTGGGCTCCTTCATGGGCCGACACACAGTCCACTGGTTTTGATGGGGATCGTACCTCTCAATGCTCGATAAGTGAGACACACCATTGTGTCCACCGACGACAAAAATGAAGCCCAGCATGACGCCGACACCAAAGTTTATTCGTTTATCGGCCATTGAAGCGACCGTCTCCCATGAGTTTTTACTCGGATCGTAACGCTCCACGCTGCAAATACAAACAACTTGTGAGCCTTGGATTTTAGTGACATTTGAGTTTCACTCCATAAGAAATCTGCACTTGTCAGAGGTACACCTGGTTCTGCCAACCAATATTACCCCGCACAGGAGTAATGCAAGAGAATGAAAAAGTACTTGAGCGAATAGGAAATTCTGCAGTGTGAATTTTGCAAAACCCAACAGCAGCACCAAGAGACTAAAGCCAGCATAATCACCTAGAAGCATCAATCACATCCTAGGGTCCTTCCACACCACCAAGCAGCTGCAGTTTCTCAACAAAGCCTTGCCAAAAAGCAGATTTAACATATTTCATCCTGATGCAGTGACTGCAGCTCAGCCACTTCTCTGATGTCCTTGTGCCACTGCCCTGGATCTTCAGACAACACTGGAACAAAGGAACTCTCCAAAGCTGGTGTCAGAACCAACAGCTCGGCCAAGGATGACTGCAGCTATTTAGAAAACAGCAACTCATGAAAAGCTGAACACAAAACAGAGCTGAAGTGTGTCTATTTGGGTACCACATCAAATCAAGAACTTCCTTGAGGCTTGACTGGAAGTAACAAAGAGGGAAAAAATATGGAGAAGCATATCCCTAAGGAAAAACAATAAAGAGGTGTCTGATCAAAACACTAAGGATGGAAGAGGCTTTCAGGATCAAACAGAGATGAATTATCGTCATTATCATTATTATTTTTTAATCACTGGAGCTGTATGGGCGGTCAGAGTTATTGAAACACTCATCGTACGAAACCATTCCCTGTCCAAAGAGTAGAAAAGGGGGAAGAAGAGGGGAAGAAAAAATCAGAAGCACTACAGAGTTGGAGAAGAGGTGCTTCATGACACAGCAGCCTGCTTTCTTCTAATGCCAGAGCTTGGATGAGAATAGTGGCTGTATGGCATGACATGTTAATCGCACTCTTGAATAATTAATAAACCCAAAATTATTCAATAAAAACTAAATTAAAATTTAAAAGGCCAACAATGAAATATCAGATTCTAATAACTCTGCAGGAGCTGCTGGCAATTCCTTTCTGACTGAGGAAGAGAGAAGATGTGGCACAAGGAGTGACACCACCACAGCGTTTTAACGTTGTAAGAGCCTTCCCTGTAAGGGCATCAGCTCGACAGGCATTTCCTATCACTCCGGCGATAAGTCCTGCATTTCCTGAAAGGCAGTCACCGAGTTTACCTCTCAAAGGCCTCCGTGCACACTGAGCATTCAACTGTTGGGAATCACTTCTGGCAAAAGCAAGGGCTTGTTTATCTTCCTTTTCCTGGTCTGTGCAACAAGGCTGCAGTGGAGCAAGCATTCCTGAGGTCCCACAGCAACCACTGCTCTGCTCTACCACTGCCTTGGCTGTAAAGAGGGTGTCTACCAAGTATTTCAACTGCTACCACAGTTCGTAATTTAAATTGTAAGAAATTCAGAAAATGTCACGTTAAGTTTCTTAATATCCTGTCACAACCACACCAAAAAGTCAAAGTTATTGCTGTTTAGTATTTCAGTAATTTAAAAAACTGTTTGCATTTTCCAAATGAAAACTACTTAGATACACTTTCCTTTTTGGAAATCAATCCTTTGCTTTACAAACTGTTCTGTATAAAAACACAGAGTATAACAAGTCAGTGCAATTAATGCCTAGTGCAATGTTGTTAAACTACACTGTCAAACAATCAATGCATCCCTTCCTATAAGCAAGATTTTAATTTTCATTCTTTATTCAGCTATTTAGACTTGCAGTTTATTAATTTGCTTCCTGGAGGAACATATGGCCGATTTGTTCCCATTTTAATGAGGAGTACAAATGATTCCTTTGCATAACTAAATGCCCCTGCCCATCCATACAGAGGGGTGCAGAACAGAACAATTACAGAGCATGCTGGTACCTTGTGAACACAAGGTCTGAAGCGAGCCCCCTTCTGCCCCAGAGCCAGACCAGTAACCCTCGTCCTGAACTTCTTCATTATCTTTAAGACTGCTTTAAGATTCCATGTGAGGTATATAATCATTTTGTGTATATTAAGCATGTGAACAATCCCATTCATTTCAAATCAGTGTTTTCAATGTACGTTAACCTTACATCCCAGTATTTTGCAGGTATAAGGATTCACACTGCACTGGCACAGTGCTATGCAAAGTAAAGATTTCCCAGTTGAATTATCACAGATACTGCAGAACAAGGATTAATGAGGCCCACTGTGGATCACCACTCCATCTTAGAATAATTTTTAATTGGCTACTGAACACAAGCTTAGCAGCAAGGTTTGCTGGTTTCTAGGTTACGCCGCCAAGCAACGCACACCAAAAGCATGTACCTGTTCATATGGGCAGGCCCGTAGCCCCCAATGGCGTATATCATCCCGTCCAAGACAGCGGCAGCAAAACAACTCCTCGTTTTGTTCATGGGGGCCACCAGCTGCCACTCCTTCACTTTGGGGATGTATTTCTCCACTGTCCGTAGATAAGACTGCCCATCGTAGCCACCTAAGGCATAGAGCTCTCCTGCCAGAACCACCACTCCCAGTGTACTGCGGCTCTCAAACATCCTTTCAAGAGACGTCCAAGTGTTCGTATCGGGGTCCCAGCACTCCACTGAATTTTCATGCTTTCGGTAACTGATGCCTTGACACACATGGGTTGCAATTCCTCCTACAACGTATATTTTCTGGTCTAGGACACATATTCCAAATTCATAGCGGGGAATGCTAAGAGGTGCCAGGCCTATCCAGGAGTCGTTCTGAGGAAAATACATTTCAACACTGAAATAGAAAAACCAAAGATTACGTGAGCAAACCTAACTTCCTGAAGCTCTACGAAATGCAAGTGACCATTAAGGAGCAGAGCCTTAAGACTATTTCTTGCGTCCCATTCCATGTTTGCTGTTCCTTCCAATAGCCCACATGTAAGCTAAAATCAAACGTTGTTTACTGTTCTAAAGATTTAAAAACCCAGGGCCTCACAGTGTAAAGTGCAATGCAGCAACACAGCAAGTCACCACAGCACCAAGTCCGAGACCTGAAATGATGAATCTGGAAAGGATGAACCAGGCAGACTGCGGAGAAGGCAGGAGAGCATCGTGGATAATGGGAGGGAAGACAAGAGAGTGCTGGTACCACAGTAGCCTTTGGAGGCTATGGTTGGGGTAGGCCAAAAGTCCAAACCAAAGCTGTAAGAATGGTAAACTGAAGCAAAATGTCAGAACAGCCACAGAGATGGGAGAGAGAGAAAAGAAGAATTGGAGAAGGGGAAGCATGTGTCTACATATATATCTTGAATAATTATGGAAAAATTATGTAAAGTGAAAAGACATCTGAAAGGATAAAGAAGTGGCATAAAACCCACTATTATTAACCACTTTCATTAATAGAATTCTCAACCAACAGAATAAGAAAGATAACATTTTATAGCTATTTGTGTTGGCACAAACAGAACTCCACAACACAGAAGACTACCCATGAAATCAAAAAGCATGTTGAATTCAGTGCTTGTCCTTGTTCAAAAAAAAAAATCTCCTGAAGAGTACTTCTGAAGGAGAGCAGTAACGACAGCACTGCAGACCACCACAGCGCTTCAACTGCTGCCTTAATCCCGACCCAGGGCGACAGTAAACACACATGGACATCACACCACTCAAGTGCTGCAACAGCTGCTCTGGGACTCACCTTTCCAGGCACGCAAAGAGCCCAGCTTTCCCTCCTACAGCACAAAGGACTTTGGGAGCACAGCGAGGTCGTGTCATCAGCATGGTCTGGTGGGAAAGTCTGTGTTCAGGCATGAAGTGGTATTTTAGGGCCTCGTTTAGCAGGTGTTTACATGTATGGTCATCACGAATGAGATGGTTTGCTTCATATAACCTCGTCAGAAACTTAACGCTCAGCAGTGGTAACCGAACGCAGTGCAGCAGCTGCGCCAAGTACTTCTGTCGCTCCTGCACGTCATACTTGATCCAGGACTCCAGGGCATAAAAAACGGTTTCTTCTGTCACAACATTCAAGCAGTCATTGGAAACAATTTCATCCAACTCTGAATGTGTAAGCTCAAAAAATTCTTCCGTCTGGCAAACATCTTCAAAGTTTTGACAAATGTACTTGTTAGCAGCCAAGTAGAGGTCATGGCAGCCATAGGTCTCTGCAAAACGAGAAATCCCGATGCAATTGCCAGGGTCAAGCTGGCTTTCAAGAAACGCACAGCACTCCTTCACCACCAGCTTGATCTGGAGGAGATTTGCAGCTGGAAGCAGCGACTCGACGGTGTCTTGCGAGATGAAGACAGTTCCCGTGTAGGCGTACTCCACGATGGCCTGCAGCGCCGCCTCGTCGATGCACTGGAACTCCACCTCCGAGTTCTCCTTCTCCGAGAGGTTCCCCGTGAACATGGCTTTGAAGTAGGGACTGATGCTGGCGAGCACCACTTTGTGGGCGTGGATCTTGACATCGCCAACCCTGAGGACGATGTCACAGAGCTCGTGATGCTGGCGAAGGAGGTTCAGGCCTTGCAGAAGCTGTTCAGAATGCAAGTGGGTTAAGTTGGCAAGCATGTAGGTTGGAGACGACTGGTCCATCTGTGACAAACGGAATTTTAAGGCATTACTCAGGGCTTCATTTCAACAGCTTCATTACTCATGTTACTTAGACATGCCACACAACATTTAAATAATATTTTTCCATTTTTGCTTTTATCTTAATTAGGTTTATAACTTTCCAATTTACTTTGTCAATCCTTACACGTTATGCTTTTTCATGCAAGTTAAATCCAGGACGATCAAATCTTTATTAATAGTGTATGCTATAACAATCTTTGACTTATAAACAACAACCACCACCTGTTTGGTTTTTTTTGTTCTGGAGTAAAATGCATATTATCTGAAATACTGAATACATGATAGGATTTTACATCAGATATTTGAGAGAACTGAATAGTGACTGAATAGAGAACTGAAATAAAAATAGAGACAAATAAAGAACAGAACTGGCTCATTTGAGACAGAGTTTTAGAAGTTCTTAAACTACTTCCTGCCACTTGCTTTGCACCTGCTTAGTGCTACTGCGGGGCAGCTGAGCCCTGCTGTTCTTCCTCTCCAACCAGTGCTGCAGACAGGGCCCCACCAGTTGGCTGGGACCAGTCTCTGCCATCCTTCCTCACCAAACAGCCCAGTCTCTCCCTCTGCACAAAGGGGCCAAAAGCCCCACAGAGCCCATGGGGCCCAGGACTGCAGGAAAAGGGGTGCTGGAGCAGAGGCAACTGCTCTGAACGGGGAGAAGCACAGGAGAAGCGGGAGATTCTTCTCCTCACTGAGTGACTTCCACTGTCAGTGAAGGATTCTCACTTCTGCAGCTCCACAAAACTCCCAAACACTTCTTCCAAAAAGTTTTAGCTTGCATCGTGACACTTAAGAACTATGATACCTGCTCTAATTTTAGTGTCATTACAATTCGATCAGTGCTGCCCACCACTACGTGTTGAAGAAGTTCTACAGTGCTTTATTCAGCCTGAATTATTATTCCATGAGAGGGTGGAGGGTACGAATGTGTCAGGATCCTGGACGACGAGGAAATGCAGCTATTGTTCTCCAGAGAACACTGCAACAGCCGACTGCTGAACTGAAAAGCTGATTTAAATTTGCTTTGCTAAATGACTGCACAAACTTCAAGATCTCACTTGTTTTATCTTATTATTAAGTTCATCATTTTTATAGCTCCTGAACTGACATCTAATTTGCAGTGAGCCTACTTACAAAATGCTTAATCTGAAAGAACAAAATTAGTTGCCACCATTTAAGTACAGAACATAATAGCACTGACAGAGAAGTGAAGGCTTACAGCTAGAGATATAAAGCTGAAAGATAAGTATGCTCATCCCTCTTCTATTACAGCTCTACACTGGAAAAAGAAACATATCTAAAATAAAGCATTTTAAGCACATCTGCAAAAGGCAAGATTCTACAGAATATATTCCACATAACATTTTTGCAGCACAAATTATGTGGGGGGGAAGAGATGTTCAGCAGCTTCTTCTCCTTTTGTGTTTGTGCCCAGTTCATGACTGGCAGTAATCATAAACCACAAGGCAACACCACATAGAAGGAAAACAGAATGGTTACAGTTCAGATGAAAAACCTTAAAAACAAGTATAAATAGCTAGACTGAAGTTACTCCACAGAAATAAAACTTTTTATACTAACTTGGTGGGGATGTCCACTGTCGAATCTCACATGCCTTCTGCATGACGATGCTCGTCCACACCACATATTTGCTAGTATTTATTTTATTGTTGAGCAAGAAATCAGACGCTGGAACATTAACCAGCCCTGAGGAACCTACGCTAGCCCAACAGCTTGTGCTCACAACACAGATCAAACACTTGCCCCAGGCTCTGGGCTATTAGAGCCTTCTCATAGTCTGGAGGGAAAACTTGAATAGCAGGGGAAGAGTTAATGGAAACAGAAAGGTTAACCAGAAATGTAAACAGCTCAACTCACTTACTGAAGGTTTTCACTCTTCTAAAAACCACGGTATGAGGTGATGCCCAGTAAGGGATGCAGAGCACAGCATCTGCTTTACATGAGAACAGCAGGAAGAGCTGCAGGCACTTTTCTGACTCAAGACCGTATTTAAGTGCTCGCCAGTCCCTCATTTAGGCTACAAAACGGCTGGCAGCAACAAGCGGCTGGTCTGGTTTCATTACGCACTGGAAAGCATAAAACCTCAAAAGCACCCGCCCTAACTCTGAGCTAACTTTGGTCCTAAACACCCGACACATCACAAAAAAACACCTTCTGCGTGCCAAGAAAAAAGCGAAAGGAGTCATCTGCAAGCACAAACTGCCCTGCTGGCGGATTCTTATGCTCTCTACGCTGTCGCGCTTAGCCCCTACGTTTCTGCCTCGGTTCCGATTCACGGGGCAGAGGCCAAGCACCTTGCAGAGGAGCGCAAGGCTTAAACACAGCC